AATTAACTTAAATGATTTTAGCAAATGGCTGCAATATAACAAAGAGTGAAAAATTTAAGGGGGTCTGAATACTTTCCGTACCCACTGTATATATACACTCACACATAGCATTCATTTGTAATTTTAGACACACACACGCACATATATATATATATATATATATACATAGAGAGAGAGAGACAGAGATAGATATAGATAGATAGATAGATAGATAGATAGATAGATACATACATACACAGAACTAGTCAAAAATTTGGAAACATTGATTTTTAAATGAATTAATTTACATTTTAAATGTTTTGCCAGGTGCTGTGTACTGTATGGGAATGATTTAGCTTATTCAAATATTGCATGCTTTTAAAATAGCTGTTTTTCATGTTATGTTAATTTTATGTTATGTAATAGCTATCTGACTAAGATCTAATAATTCTCTCCTCAAATAACTTTGCCTTTTAATTACTTAAAAACAAAAAATAATAGGACACCGTTTTGTTCTGTTTTTGTGGCCTGTTATAAATGGGTCTGCTTGTGGGTTACAGAATTATTGTGCATTTCCTGGCATTAATCTCTTCTTTTTTTGTACATAAAGTTCTTATGATTGTGACTTTTTGTGGTTGTTTCTGGTGTCACAGTGTCATAGTGGTGGATGGCGCCTTAAAAACAGCCATCAAAGAAGACAGCATGTCAGCTCGGTCTCCACTCGGCAATGGCAGCACTTTTTCGCCAGCGCAGCCCAAGGCCAGCTCTTCCACAGCCAACTCTGTATACGGCAATCGAGACACTCCCCCACCTGTCCTAGTGGAACCACCCCCTCACCGTCCTCATTCCACACTGGGACCCCCAGGACCTTTGGTCCCTTCTGACACCCCACTCACTGTAGGCTCCTACCCCAGCGCCAAGAGCTTTTTGGGTATGCGTGCAAGAGAGCTGTTCCGCAACAAAAGCGAGAGCCAGTGCGATGAGGACGAAGCCCTGCCTCCGCGTCTCACTGGCCTATCACAGGGCCTGAAAACTGAGCTGTGTGTGGAGCCGACAGCGAAGAGTACATCCAGCTCCACCGCTGCGCAGAGCTTCATGCTCATCACATCTGCTAAAGAAACCCAACCGGATGCTCAGAGAGCCAAAAACCGAGACAAGTTCGGCTCAAGATGCCCAGAGAGGCCTAGGCAGCAACCGTTAAGGATCATGGACTATAACGAAAGTCATCAGGAGCACAGCTAAAGTTATGGAAAAATGGTGAAAGAGAGGGAGGTAGAGGATGGAAAGATGTGCGAATTTAGATTATTAGAACATAAGGCAAGACTCTTTCGATTATCAGTGTTATCTGTCCCATTTCCACAAGCCGACAACAGGATTTGGAGGTAATAAACCAGTAAAACCCTCACTAAGATGGGACAAGTGGAAGGAATGGACTAAAACAACATGTATAGAAGTGGTCACAAAATGTCTTTTAGTAACCCCACTGCGTTGTTCACCAGAAATGTCACCGCTACATCTTTTATTTGTTATTTTTTTGCTAATTTATCCACTCCCTTTAACCAAGTAACTGTTGCAGCACGTGGAAGCTTTGCATTTAGGCTGTTAGAAGAAATATAAATTGATTCATTTGTAGTAATGGTACAATGCTTATACCCTCACAGCTCACCCACACAGAGCTGAAGTGTGTGCTTGGATGCCAGGAGGCGGCTGGTCGGTTGGATGGTTGGCTTGTGCCAAGCAGGAGTCAGTGTTTCTTTAAAGCCTTCAGGTTTTACCTTTCAAACATGTCAAGTGCATTTTCATGTGCGCAATTCATGTTTTTCTTTACTACGTTTCTGTGTGTGTGTAAAATGTCTGTCTGTGTGTGTGTGTGTGTCTGTGTGTGTTGAAAGAGATGGCCTGTATCCCAGACTTGATTCTGGGTTAAATTGCACTGTAAGTTGTTACTGATTACGGAAAAAATCCGTTACAGCCTTGGACTAGACTAAATCTGGATCCGAGAAACGATACAGCCACAACAAGTGGAAGGTTCGACATGTTTTTTAATATTTTTTTAATTATTTATTTTTTTGTCCTTTTTAGCTTGACAAGTATTACTAGTGCTTTTAAAAGTTATAAAGCAACGTAAATGAACAACGGCCATAGATTCGTGATTATTATCCACGACTAGTCAAACCTGTGAATCGTATCCTTCTGTAATCTCTAAAACATCACAAGTAAAATCTAGATGATCTAATGGCCATTTTGAAGCTTTATCCTAATAATAAATAAGTCAGACATCAGTCAAGTAATTGCTTTGACGATACTAACCTTCAGTCTCAAGCTCAGTCATCATATTCGCTCAAAACTCAGTAGGAAACTGATAATAGTATGGATGATGTTTTTTACCCTCTCACTTCAGCGCACTGCAGATGTTCAAGGATATTATTACGAAGTTTGCTTTCTGGGTGCCAAATACTCAATAAGACAATGACAGTATTCTGTAGAGCTTAAATGTACTGGTTTTTGTTCTATTCTTATACTACCACATATCAGTTTGAGGAGGTAAGTATAAGACTCAAGGTCTGTAATTTGAGATTTTGTCGAGCTAAAAGTATATGGAGTATAGCGATGAGAGCTGTAAGAAGCCAAGTAGACTGTAAAATATCTCAGAATTTCCACAAAATGGCCATGTTGATAGTCAAACGTCATTTAGGAATTGCGGATGTGGTGGTCATACTCAAATTGTTCCCAAATCCTGTTGTCCCCTTGAAGTCTCTGCTGTTCCTTCTGCCTTGCTATCTAGAGCATGTACAACAATCCTCTTTTAATGCCAACAACAGAAACTATGAATGAACAAGATACAAGGTACAATCAGCGTGGAAAGAAAGGAACGTTTGAATTTGAGCTCCTTTGCTGGAGAGGAAAGTTCTGGGGTTTGTTGGGGGAGAGAAGGCAGGGTAGGTTGGAAAAGGTTCTTAAAGCAGTTGCTTGTGTTAACTGTGAATGACAAAAATAAAATCATCTTCAATGTTTTGCACTACAGATTGGGGGTTGTCTTGATTATTTTCCTCCTCGATTAATTTCGCTTTGATGTCTGGAATGGAAATGAAACACAATTTGAGGCCTACAAGCTACGCTGGCAAGAAAACATCACTTCCTTGAATGTTGGCCGTAATTATTTTAAGCTGATTTAAATAGGTAATACTTGTTGACAAACAATAGATACAAATTTGACAGCTTTTGTCACTTATTATTTATTTATTTTTTCAAATGGCTCCTTTCGTGTTCCACAGATGAAAAACATAGGTTGTAAATGACATGAAGGAGAGTGAATTATTAATTTCTCTTTAACATTCTTTCCCTCCTGAAGACGTTTGAATTATTATTATTGAAAAAAAAGGCAAAATTACCAATCATTTTTGTTTAAAAACATTTACACGACCACTAGAGGGCACTGTTGTTCTTGATTATCAACCATCAATCAACAGGTGCAGTCGAATCGTTATTGACTCTCCTGAGCGTTATGGCTCAAAGCATATCTACAGATTAGCATGGGTGTTCATTTGAGGTCAAACGATAGATTGCATTCAAGGTTTTGCACTTTCCGTACAGTTCTGTAAGATTCAGTATATGTCCTATTCGAGGGGGTAAAAAACTGTACACTAGCTTGCTGGTTTTAGCTGGTCTCCCCATTTGGTCAGTTGGTTTTTAAAGTGCTTTGAGTACATTACAGCAGGTAAGTCTGGAAAACCATCAATCAACAAGTGCAAGTCGAATCGTTATTGACTGCTGAGCGTTATGGCTCAAAGCATATCTACAGATTAGCATGGGTGTTCATTTGAGGTCAAACGATAGATTGCATTCAAGGTTTTGCACTTTCCGTACAGTTCTGTAAGATTCAGTATATGTCCTATTCGAGGGGGTAAAAAACTGTGTACACTAGCTTGCTGGTTTTAGCTGGTCTCCCCATTTGGTCAGTTGGTTTTTAAAGTGCTTTGAGTACATTACAGCAGGTAAGTCTGGAACTGATGACACTACTAATCGATCTTTGCCATTTTAGATCAGCAAATAGGGTTACATATGTTTTTTCTCGCCAGATTTTTATTTTAATTATTTATCTACAAAATAAGTAATTTTTATATACTAAGCTCGATGTCAAAATATGATATATTAGTGAAGTCTGTGAACCGAATCGAGTTCAGACAGCTTATATTTTATGTAGCCTAGATAGTGACCTAAACTTATGACACATATGGTGCAATTATTCCGTCCCTGCGCGTCTTGTTGAAATTCAGTGGCAGAGCGAAACACGACGAGAGCTGCTACAACTGAGAAAGTAAGATTAGTTTATCAAACGTGTGCATATGTAGGACTATTTCATGACTGAGTCAAAAAAAAAAAATCTTGTTTAATTTAGCAGTACTCTGAGGGGTCAGGGAAACTGATGCAGAATAATTGGACGCAGAGGGAATCCATACCAATTTGTGATTTCAGAATCTACTTGAGAAATTAGATGTCAGTGCAAATATGAAATTGCTCCTCAATGTTTTCAAAGATTGTATGAAATTTTAAGTATAAATCTTACGTATTCACAGCAAAGGGATTTCTCTCTTTGCCAACTTGAAATGCAACCCAGTGAAATTGTCAGGACACAGGAGGCACGCCGTGGAGTTAAAGCTGTGCCATGCAGTCATGATTGGGCTATAAAGAGTCTTATTTTTATTTCATTATTTCTCCGTTTTCTCTTGAAAGTGCTGTAGATTCCAAAAAAGCAAGATGGAGGAAGAGATAAAAGGCTGCTGATGTCAGAACTAATCAGGAGAGTTAAAACTGTTATTATATGATCTGGGACTGGTGTAAAAAATCTTTTGAAAATACCTGTCTCCTGTTTCAAACACACCAGCAAATTCGCCATTTTTTTATTTTTTATTTTTTTGCAGATATATCTAAATATGGACAGAATTATTGTTTAACTTTTTATATTTTAATTACGTTACCCATGTGATTTTGTTAAAGGGTTCACCCAAAAATGGAAATTATGTAATTAATTAATCACCCTCATGTTGTTTCAAACCCGTAAGACCTTCGTTCATCTTCGGAACAAAAATTAAGATATTTTTGATGGAATCTGAGAGCTGTCTGACCCTGCATAGACAGCAACGCAACTGAAACTTACTTGTCCCAAAGTTGAGTGTGCACACTTCGAAGGCCAGGCCTCCGAAGTGCACGAAGGGCCCTCCGAAGTGCATGAAGGATGCTCCGCCTTTGCAGGATTTCCTAATTGGGACACCATAGTAGAGACCTGGGCTGCGTTCAGCCCCTACAAAAATGGTGCAAAACGTTTTTTAAACTGAAACGGTGGTGCATTGATTGAACACCCTGTTCTGATGACGCAAGAGTTGCAACTATGGCAGCTGAGAAGGCCATTCTTTGTGTTCTTTTTGAAGAATTTTCGGAGCCTGATGAAATCAGTATAAATACGTGTTTAATACCGCAAAATACGCTCGATGGTACAGTCACTGCCCTTGCCCTCCAGAATAAATAATTTCCATTTTTGGGTGAACTAAACCTTTAAGGCGCTGCGGTCACATTAACCGTTGTTTGTCGAATTTTCACAAGCGACAATCATTTCAATCCATCCAATTGGAAATTTAAGGCTTACTTGTCCCAAAGTTGAGTGTGCACACTTCGAAGGCCAGGCCTCCGAAGTGAGCTTGCCCCTGCCCAATGCAACAACAGGGAGCGGCGCGGGACAACTCTTGATGGGTTTGATTCGCGGGACTCCTGCAAAATAGAAATTATCTAAACATAAAATGTTTAAAACATATAAATTTTTATTTGTGTGTTACACAAAAGCAAAAAGAACAACTAATAACATTAAAATAGCTAGGCAAGGGAAGCCCTGACAGTGCTGCTGGATCTTCTGAGAAGTGAACGTCAACAGTGATGGGGTGCCACAATCCAGACCCTGGTGTTTCTTTTCTGTCTGGCCAGTGGTACATCATACAGAGTGGTCTCCAGAGTGTTTGACATGGCTCGTTCCACTGTCACCGCATTGTCCTCCGAGTCGCTGAGGAGGTGTTGGCCATTCACCAAGCGATTTACCTGAAGACCTGAAGATTTAGCTTCACCAAGAGATTTATCTGAAGACCCCAGAACTCATGGGCTGGGCTCAAAATGTTGTTCCCTTTCAAGGGAACTTCGAACTGCATCCTCTAGGGGTCGCTATGGGGAACGCCTCGTCGTGACCCGTGTCTGAAGCATACATTGAAAAAACACCAACAACACGTTGGCCGGCGACAACCCATGACATCACTACCGGTGCGATTATAGTATAAATAGGTGCCGGGAGAACATGTCATTCTCTTCTTCGTCTTCACTGACCGTTTTGTTTGAAGCGTGCATTCCAAAAAGCAAAGTAAGAGCTTTTTCTTTCCTACTATGGCGAGCACTAGCGAAGCGTTTAGAAAGTGTGTACATCCGTG